ATATATATATATATATATTTAATTATTATAGTTTTATATACTGAATAGATGTAATACTAAAATAAAAATTTAATATTTTAATGAAAGAATTAAATAATTATATTAAAATGTTAGATATATATATATTTAATATTTTATATGGAGATTTTTGGATATTAAAATGTTCAATAAGAGTGTACATGATTGGTAGCAGATTAAGTTTTTTTTTCAGAAAAAATCAAAACTTTTTTTAATTCTCATGTTTTGAATGATAACTTTAATTTTTTAGAAAAAAAAATATAAAGAAAATCCGTTGAAATTTGAGTAAAGTTATTTAACTTTTTTGGAAATCCATTCCCGTGCATGATTATGGGTTTATAAAATTATTTTAGGTAATGTTTAAAAATGAATAATTGAAATCAATATTTATTGTGATTAAAAATTAAATGCTTTTGAAATGTAATAGTTAATATGTTGAGTATAATAATCAGTATAATTATTATAATAAAAAATGTAATTATTATAATAAATCTGAAGTTTAAATTCAGTATGTAAATGCATGAATTTAAACGTGATGATATTAAGATGCTACAATTTTTTCAATTACATTATATTATGTTTAGAAAATATATATTTTAGAAATTAATGTATTATTTGATAAATTTGTAGTTGTGAATGTTGTATTGGAGAAGATCGATTATATATAGGGTTAAATATGTTTTTCGTCCCTTAAGTATCACACGATTTTGGATTTAGTCCCTACTTGAAACTTTGATGGTTTTTAGTCCTTATAGTTTTGAAATTATTATTATTAATCCCTAAAATTGGATGGCGTTAAATTGTCTTTGACGTGGCAAACGGCAAATCCACGTTTCATGCCACCTCCCGTGCCACGTTTAGTGCTTCTTGAGGATTCAAGGCAAACCCGAGCTTGAACAGAAGATTCAAAAAACTGAAGCACCAAGCACCCACCATGAATCTTCAACTGCAAAGCGAAATTGAAGCAAACCCCAAAATTTCTCTCATCAGGCCACCCCTCAGGGCGCATAAAGTTTGGTACTTTAAGCTATTTCCACCAGGCAAAAGAGAAAAATTGCTCTCTGCGACTTCTTCTTCAACGCCACTGCGTCTTTGTCCACCACCTTGTTTTTACTTTTACCTTAATTGATACAAGCAACAATGACATAGCGGTACCCATCCAAAGCAACTATGTATCTCTATTCAACTCAATTGTAGAGAAAAAAGCTTTTTGCCCCTCATGTGTGTACTGCACTTTTAGGGAGAATTCCTCGTCGAACTTTACACTGTCCATTTTACTTATTATGCATCTAGAAAGAAGGTGGAGCTGGTATTCTCCAACACTCCTTTCCAGACCACAGTATTAGCCTCAACCATATTCCTCCTTTGTCTTTAATCTCACACCACCAACACTATCTATTATTATAAATTTCACCTTCTTTCTCACTTGTTTACAGCAACAACAAAAATTCATCTTACTTAATCATGCACAAGAGCGCTTCAGGTTCCAATTGGCCCAAGGGGCCTCGACCTAACTTAGGCCTTCTTCAAGCCCATCGCCAACGTTGCCTTCTTCAGAATGGCCATCGCTCAGACCATCCTCACCCAATACCTCACCGACTAGCTCGTCCTCGTTGATACTAACACCAAAAAGCTTCACGTCAAAATGCTCGACCTCCAGCACGTTGACGTCTTCCTCCCCAACACTATGATTCACACCTCCACTGACTCTTCCTTTACTGCCAGCTCCGATTTCTGCATCATCACCGCTTGCGCCGACCAAATCGCCAGTAAGTCCCGCCTCAACTTGCTCTAGTGGAACCCTTCTCTCTTTTGCGCCATCAACACCCTTGTATGAAAGATTATAGTTTAGCAAGCAAGGAAGCTAGTGGCGTGGCAGAGTTTTGTTTGGAGCACTAAACGTGGCATGAAACGTGGTTTTGCCGTTTGCCAAATTTAACGCCATCCAATTTTAAGGATTAATAGTAATAGTTTCAAAACTATAAGATTAAAAACCATCAAAGTTTCAAGTAGGGACTAAATCCAAAATCGTGTGATACTTAAGGGACGAAAGACATATTTAACCCTTATATATAATCATAGTAACACCTTTGAACTTATTTTAATATCTCTAATAAGCCAATAAATTTGTAGTTGTGAATATTGTATTGGAGAAGACCGATTATATAGAATCATAGTAACTGACAGTTTAAAATTTATTTTAATATCTAATAAGACGTATGTAGGACACATTATTTTTTTATTTAACATTTAATATTTTTAAATATATAATTTTATTTGTGAATAGTAAGATATATAATAATAACAATAATGAAATTAGTGTATGATTAATAATATACACAATTATTTGGCATGGAAATAGATAATTAAATTAAATGGTTATTGATTATTATTATTACTATTATTTATAATTATGTATATATTATTGATATTTAATTCATTATTATTAATGTTTTCTTGGACTTTGAGGATGATGAAAAATTATGTTAATAGATTAAATTGTAAGAAGACCAAATTATTCTTGGAGTAAAAAATATAATTATTACTAGTTAACATTATCAATTAATTTATCATGGGCGAGCCCACAGTTTTGCAACTGATTAACAGAAACCTGTCAAAATCAAAGTTAGTGTCAGTTTTACATCGGTCCCACCTTATCTAATCACACCACTTTCAAATTTAACTTTTGCATTCAAGTCCCTGCCCTTTGCACATTTCCTCTTCTACGCAATTCATCAATAAAAATTACATTTGTATATTTAAAAGATTTTTTTAGATACAAAGGAACCTTAATTTATATAAAATGGTTAGTCTGAAAAAATGGCAATAATTAGGCATATAATATGTTTCTTCACAAATATTTATAGAGGAAAAATATAATTTTCTTTTGACTTATTTCTTTATAATTAAGTTAAAATTAATATATATATATATATATATATATATATATTAAAATATTTATCATCATTATATTGTGTTAGAATTATTTTATTTATCATGATTATATTGTGTTAGAATTATTTTATTTATCATGATTATATTGTGTCTAAAATTATTTTATTTATCATGATTTTATAATTATTTTATTTATCATGTATTTTGTATTAAATTTTCTTATATATAAAATGATAGAGATCTTTTAAGTCTTCAAAAAATATTTTACACAGATCTCAAATATATAAGTTTAAAATAAAATTTAAATCAATTATAGGTAAAAGATTGTATAAGTTAATTTTATTTCTTTTTATCCTAAAATGTTTTATAGAAAAAGTCGTATAACATTGTAATGGTCTTACATTTTTTTTATTTTTATACTTTCACTCCTAAAAGAATATTTTCTACAATAATACATATTTTCATATAACTATTTCACACTTCTTTTTAATTTTTTTAATTTTTTTTTCAACTATATATTATTAAAATATAATCTTTTACGTCTATCTTGTTTAAAAGTTAAGATCTTTTTTCTAATTTTTCCTTAAAAACTTCTTACCTAAATCTTAAACGCTCATGCAAACTGCACCAAAACACTCAGAATTCCAAAATCATTGTTGTAGTTGCTAATTATGCAGCAAAAAATTAAATGGCCTAAGACAAACCAAAGAAATCCGCACGGTGCAAAGCTGATGAAAAATTGAGAATCCAGACTTTTGAGCAACTCAACTACTATTTTTGAAGGTTGAAAAATCTCAATTTAGTCCCTCGTTATAAAAGTGTTTTACATTAGTCCTAACTTTTAAAATAGTGGGTCAGATTGGTCCCTTTCGTTAAATATAAGTTAACGAAATTAATGGATGATGATGTGACACAGCTTAAAGCTGATGTGTTAGATTGGTCTCTCGTTAGCTTTAAGTTGTGTCACATCATCATCCATTAATTTTGTTAACTTATATTTAACAGAAAGGACCAATCTGACCCACTATTTTAAAAGTTAGGACTAATTCAAAACACTTTTATAACGAGGAACTAAATTGAGATTTTTCAACCAAAGTGAGAACTAAATTGGCTATTAAACCATTTTTGAATTTTAATGGTAAATACAGATTGGCAACACAAACATGTATAAATGCATCAAATAAATTTGTCTCAAGCATTAGGATCAATGAATCTGGACAGACACAGTGTGCACATGATCAAACCAAAAGTGACATTTTATGCAGAATTTGAATCAGATTTGGATGAACTTAACCATTCATTTTGCAATTTTGTGATGAATATGAGTTGCAATCACTTTGGACATTTTCAAAAACATTAGACAAACGTGCACAATGCTTGAAACAACAAGAAATCTGGACAACAACAGATTACACTTACGAAATCACGTTTTATGCAGAATTTCAAAACAGAATGAACTGTTTTGTCAATTCTTTAGCTCATATGATCAAAGCTAGACAATGTCTTGTTGCTTTATATGATCAAGGAAGAGCTATCACTGCACTGGACACACTTAAAAACAGAAAAATAAAAGTTGGAGTAGATTAAAACTAATGGAACAGTGAAACACGACAATCACTAGCACATGACCGAACAAAACTGGAAAATGATGATTAGGCTAAATTGAAATTAAAATAAAGAAATGCACCGATTAAAATGATGGAAGAATACTAAGGAACGCGTGAATGCACTCAAACATCCACAGAAACAAAAAAAAAATGGAATCAAACAGAAGTGCAAATAGAGAATACGAACTGCACAACACAAAAGTGAGAAAATTAAAGGAAAGAGCAACTTAGCTCTTTGGAGCGTGAATGGAACGGCTGGCTCTTGATGCCAAATGATGGAAGCAACTCCAGGAAATGCAGAAGAAGCTTCCCGAAGTAGAGAACTGGCAACGGATTGAATGAAATGCAGTGGAGTTTATGGACGCATGCAAGGTGTTTGTGAATATGCTGGAAGTGTTTTGGAGTGGCTGTTTGGTAGAGTTCTAGCTCAGCAAGCTTTCCAAAGGGGAAAGAAGCTAGAGGAGGTGCAAGATAACAATGCACAAGGGTGAACTTGAGAGTAAAAGTTGAAAATTGGCAACATTTCCTTACTTCAAATCAAGTTACATTTACAAGGGATGAAACTCTCTATTTATAGAAGAAGGAGAGCTTCTAAAACGTATTGTGCAAATTATTTTAAAGATGCACACGCTATAAAACAGATGGAGGAAGCTTGGGGAGCAAGCTATAGTTGCCAACTCAGCAAAGCATTTGAAGAAAATGGAGTTGCTGTCTTTGGGCGTTGACGTAGTGCAAAGGCCGTGGACACCAACCATCCATTTGTGCTTCTTTGGTTTTCTTACGTGGCAGCCTTTTGGAGTTGCATAGACATGGTTCCTCCCTTTTATTAATATTCTACAAAAGCAATGTAAAATTATTTAGCAAAGAGAAAGAAGACTTAGTAACTAATACTCCATAAAAGTAAGGTAGTGAATGCTCCCTCTTCCTCTTGGATTCTCTTGAACATGGCTCTTGTTAAAGGTCCTATGTTAAGCTTAGATGATCCTCCATCACCTAGGCTAGTCCAGAACTTCCTCTTAGCTAAACATCCACAATCCAGTTAATGTTATTAGTGTTTCCTTCATGCGATTTTTGTAGTTGAGCAACTTTGGCATGGTATGCAGCTGCTGCCACGGCAATCTTCACCCTCTGACCTTGAGGAAGCTCACAGGCTTCACTCATGGAAGCAAACCTTAGCTCAGATGGAGGAATGAAACAGTCCAAGGAGAGGCCAGGAACATTGAACGCAACCTCCTCAATCGTCCAAGCTTCTTCCATCCTGGTTTTAGTGTGGCTCATAGCAGTTTCCCCAAACCTGAAAAGCGTCACTACAGAACGACCCGAGTGAGCAATCATGATCCCCTCAACAGGCCTGTAATCATCAAGAAATCGTTTGGTGCAAAAGTATTCAAAAATGTAAACCACCTAGGCCCCGCTAGATAAATTTTTCCATAAACACCTATAAAAAAAGAAAATAACGTAAAATGATTTTACTTTCTCTGATAAATCATTTTTCCTTCTTATGTTCTTCTCCTACAAGTAACTAAATATAAATTTAACTAAGCAGTACCCTGAAACAGTACGGTTACAGCCTCAACTAAAGGGGGCGTCGCAAAGGCCGAACTGGCCCTTTGGCAGCGTGTGCACCGAGCCAAATGTATAAATGTTTTTTCCATTCAATTTTCCAAATGTATAAATGTTTTTTCCTGAACCTCTTAGCATCCTTTGTCACCCTCTCAAATTCCTCTATCACTCTCTCCATGTTAAACTCTTCCACTTTCTCCAACATCTTCACAGTGCTTCAACTGCAGCTATTACAGAAGAACAAAAGAATTAAGTTGTGACTCAGTCTTATCTCTTGGTAACACCATAAATGTTAGTCTTGAACAGTTTAAAAAAAGGAGGTACGGGGATAATAATAGCTATACAACATCAAGACATAAGCCCAGACGTAAGCATTAATCATAGCTATACAACACACTGAACAAAATATCACCTTATATTTGCATCTAATTCACAGTGACAATTTCACAATTTCAGCATTCAATACCACTAAACTTACTATTAGAGATGGCAGAGCTATTTAAAGACCAGATCATTTCTTGTGTCAAAAATATAAAGGAGAAGGTCTCATATTCATTCTGCTATTCTGTTACTTTCTTGCCTCATAATTTATTTGTCTCAGACCATTTCTTCATTCACGTTTTGTACCAGTCCAATCAACACAAGTAGGTTTGCATTTACAAGTTAACATTTTATTCATTAGACGACGAAATGAATTTAAAAGAAAACGTGAGAGTTTATATCATTACTTATTGGATGTTCCTATTTTCATCATCGAGAAAGAGCATGAAGTTGAAGGGAACAACGATTCTCGAATAAATCCTCTGAAAATGATTTGTTTTATGTGTCTAACTGGAATATATTTCCTGAACAAACCAAAGTTCACAAGAGAAATAAAAACCTAATGCATGCTGCGTTAAATTTGAATTGGAAAAGCAAGATAAGCACAAGAATTGACCTGTGCGACGAAGAGTGAGGAGAGGACCAATTTGTTGAGGAAAACTGTTGTTAGGTTAGCAGTTGGTGAGCGAGAAGCGATTGCAACATCGATGCCTTTCTCTTTGAGCGCTAACAATATGCCTTTGGTGTGAGGACACAGAGAGCGCATTTCATGCTTCGATCGACACTCACTGAATTTTCAACAAGATTGATTTCATATATTAGAGAGTATAAATGAAATTAGGTTAAGGATAAGAGGGTAGGAAGTAGGAATGAACCAGTAGAAAGGCCAAAGAGTGTAATCGAGATCGAAAACCACGAGCTTTGGCAGAATCTCAAACGCTTCGATTATCTGCAACGCCTCACCGTTCACCTTCTCCGTCTTCTCCTCCATCACTCTCTCTCTCTATATTTCTCTCTCTCCGTTGCAAAATAGAGACTTGTATGGATTATAGTATTCCATCCAAACTGAAATCATCTAAAACACAAATGCGAAGACCTTATAATGCATCCCAAATCATGAGCATCGTTGCATCTTGTTGTAAAAGAGACAAAGGGATAATAGAGAGAAAGGCACAAAAGAGAGAAATGAATCGATAAAAGGGTTTTAGGGTAGTGTATGAAAAATTTTACATCGGTTATAAGGATGATCCGGCATAGAAAAAAGTTTGTTTTCCAATATCATAATTTTGCCATAATGTTACCTGATATAGGTCTAACGGTATAAAAATGACTTTCTATGCTTCTTCTGACTGTAATAGCTATAAAAATCTTTATTATTTATTAAGAATTTGATATCGCGCTATTTTTTATATTTATTTTTAGTAGGTTTAATAGCCAATTTAGTCTTCACTTTGGTTGAAAAATCTCAATTTAGTCCCTCGTTATAAAAGTGTTTTACATTAGTCCTAACTTTTAAAATAGTGGGTCAGATTGGTCCCTTTCGTTAAATATAAGTTAACGAAATTAATGGATGATGATGTGACACAGCTTAAAGCTGATGTGTTAGATTGGTCTCTCGTTAGCTTTAAGTTGTGTCACATCATCATCCATTAATTTTGTTAACTTATATTTAACAGAAAGGACCAATCTGACCCACTATTTTAAAAGTTAGGACTAATTCAAAACACTTTTATAACGAGGAACTAAATTGAGATTTTTCAACCAAAGTGAGAACTAAATTGGCTATTAAACCATTTTTGAATTTTAATGGTAAATACAGATTGGCAACACAAACATGTATAAATGCATCAAATAAATTTGTCTCAAGCATTAGGATCAATGAATCTGGACAGACACAGTGTGCACATGATCAAACCAAAAGTGACATTTTATGCAGAATTTGAATCAGATTTGGATGAACTTAACCATTCATTTTGCAATTTTGTGATGAATATGAGTTGCAATCACTTTGGACATTTTCAAAAACATTAGACAAACGTGCACAATGCTTGAAACAACAAGAAATCTGGACAACAACAGATTACACTTACGAAATCACGTTTTATGCAGAATTTCAAAACAGAATGAACTGTTTTGTCAATTCTTTAGCTCATATGATCAAAGCTAGACAATGTCTTGTTGCTTTATATGATCAAGGAAGAGCTATCACTGCACTGGACACACTTAAAAACAGAAAAATAAAAGTTGGAGTAGATTAAAACTAATGGAACAGTGAAACACGACAATCACTAGCACATGACCGAACAAAACTGGAAAATGATGATTAGGCTAAATTGAAATTAAAATAAAGAAATGCACCGATTAAAATGATGGAAGAATACTAAGGAACGCGTGAATGCACTCAAACATCCACAGAAACAAAAAAAAAAATGGAATCAAACAGAAGTGCAAATAGAGAATACGAACTGCACAACACAAAAGTGAGAAAATTAAAGGAAAGAGCAACTTAGCTCTTTGGAGCGTGAATGGAACGGCTGGCTCTTGATGCCAAATGATGGAAGCAACTCCAGGAAATGCAGAAGAAGCTTCCCGAAGTAGAGAACTGGCAACGGATTGAATGAAATGCAGTGGAGTTTATGGACGCATGCAAGGTGTTTGTGAATATGCTGGAAGTGTTTTGGAGTGGCTGTTTGGTAGAGTTCTAGCTCAGCAAGCTTTCCAAAGGGGAAAGAAGCTAGAGGAGGTGCAAGATAACAATGCACAAGGGTGAACTTGAGAGTAAAAGTTGAAAATTGGCAACATTTCCTTACTTCAAATCAAGTTACATTTACAAGGGATGAAACTCTCTATTTATAGAAGAAGGAGAGCTTCTAAAACGTATTGTGCAAATTATTTTAAAGATGCACACGCTATAAAACAGATGGAGGAAGCTTGGGGAGCAAGCTATAGTTGCCAACTCAGCAAAGCATTTGAAGAAAATGGAGTTGCTGTCTTTGGGCGTTGACGTAGTGCAAAGGCCGTGGACACCAACCATCCATTTGTGCTTCTTTGGTTTTCTTACGTGGCAGCCTTTTGGAGTTGCATAGACATGGTTCCTCCCTTTTATTAATATTCTACAAAAGCAATGTAAAATTATTTAGCAAAGAGAAAGAAGACTTAGTAACTAATACTCCATAAAAGTAAGGTAGTGAATGCTCCCTCTTCCTCTTGGATTCTCTTGAACATGGCTCTTGTTAAAGGTCCTATGTTAAGCTTAGATGATCCTCCATCACCTAGGCTAGTCCAGAACTTCCTCTTAGCTAAACATCCACAATCCAGTTAATGTTATTAGTGTTTCCTTCATGCGATTTTTGTAGTTGAGCAACTTTGGCATGGTATGCAGCTGCTGCCACGGCAATCTTCACCCTCTGACCTTGAGGAAGCTCACAGGCTTCACTCATGGAAGCAAACCTTAGCTCAGATGGAGGAATGAAACAGTCCAAGGAGAGGCCAGGAACATTGAACGCAACCTCCTCAATCGTCCAAGCTTCTTCCATCCTGGTTTTAGTGTGGCTCATAGCAGTTTCCCCAAACCTGAAAAGCGTCACTACAGAACGACCCGAGTGAGCAATCATGATCCCCTCAACAGGCCTGTAATCATCAAGAAATCGTTTGGTGCAAAAGTATTCAAAAATGTAAACCACCTAGGCCCCGCTAGATAAATTTTTCCATAAACACCTATAAAAAAAGAAAATAACGTAAAATGATTTTACTTTCTCTGATAAATCATTTTTCCTTCTTATGTTCTTCTCCTACAAGTAACTAAATATAAATTTAACTAAGCAGTACCCTGAAACAGTACGGTTACAGCCTCAACTAAAGGGGGCGTCGCAAAGGCCGAACTGGCCCTTTGGCAGCGTGTGCACCGAGCCAAATGTATAAATGTTTTTTCCATTCAATTTTCCAAATGTATAAATGTTTTTTCCTGAACCTCTTAGCATCCTTTGTCACCCTCTCAAATTCCTCTATCACTCTCTCCATGTTAAACTCTTCCACTTTCTCCAACATCTTCACAGTGCTTCAACTGCAGCTATTACAGAAGAACAAAAGAATTAAGTTGTGACTCAGTCTTATCTCTTGGTAACACCATAAATGTTAGTCTTGAACAGTTTAAAAAAAGGAGGTACGGGGATAATAATAGCTATACAACATCAAGACATAAGCCCAGACGTAAGCATTAATCATAGCTATACAACACACTGAACAAAATATCACCTTATATTTGCATCTAATTCACAGTGACAATTTCACAATTTCAGCATTCAATACCACTAAACTTACTATTAGAGATGGCAGAGCTATTTAAAGACCAGATCATTTCTTGTGTCAAAAATATAAAGGAGAAGGTCTCATATTCATTCTGCTATTCTGTTACTTTCTTGCCTCATAATTTATTTGTCTCAGACCATTTCTTCATTCACGTTTTGTACCAGTCCAATCAACACAAGTAGGTTTGCATTTACAAGTTAACATTTTATTCATTAGACGACGAAATGAATTTAAAAGAAAACGTGAGAGTTTATATCATTACTTATTGGATGTTCCTATTTTCATCATCGAGAAAGAGCATGAAGTTGAAGGGAACAACGATTCTCGAATAAATCCTCTGAAAATGATTTGTTTTATGTGTCTAACTGGAATATATTTCCTGAACAAACCAAAGTTCACAAGAGAAATAAAAACCTAATGCATGTTGCTTTAAATTTGAATTGGAAAAGCAAGATAAGCACAAGAATTGACCTGTGCGACGAAGAGTGAGGAGAGGACCAATTTGTTGAGGAAAACTGTTGTTAGGTTAGCAGTTGGTGAGCGAGAAGCGATTGCAACATCGATGCCTTTCTCTTTGAGCGCTAACAATATGCCTTTGGTGTGAGGACACAGAGAGCGCATTTCATGCTTCGATCGACACTCACTGAATTTTCAACAAGATTGATTTCATATATTAGAGAGTATAAATGAAATTAGGTTAAGGATAAGAGGGTAGGAAGTAGGAATGAACCAGTAGAAAGGCCAAAGAGTGTAATCGAGATCGAAAACCACGAGCTTTGGCAGAATCTCAAACGCTTCGATTATCTGCAACGCCTCACCGTTCACCTTCTCCGTCTTCTCCTCCATCACTCTCTCTCTCTATATTTCTCTCTCTCCGTTGCAAAATAGAGACTTGTATGGATTATAGTATTCCATCCAAACTGAAATCATCTAAAACACAAATGCGAAGACCTTATAATGCATCCCAAATCATGAGCATCGTTGCATCTTGTTGTAAAAGAGACAAAGGGATAATAGAGAGAAAGGCACAAAAGAGAGAAATGAATCGATAAAAGGGTTTTAGGGTAGTGTATGAAAAATTTTACATCGGTTATAAGGATGATCCGGCATAGAAAAAAGTTTGTTTTCCAATATCATAATTTTGCCATAATGTTACCTGATATAGGTCTAACGGTATAAAAATGACTTTCTATGCTTCTTCTGACTGTAATAGCTATAAAAATCTTTATTATTTATTAAGAATTTGATATCGCGCTATTTTTTATATTTATTTTTAGTAGGTTTAATAGCCAATTTAGTCTTCACTTTGGTTGAAAAATCTCAATTTAGTCCCTCGTTATAAAAGTGTTTTGAATTAGTCCTAACTTTTAAAATAGTGGGTTGGTCCTTTCTGTTAAATATAAGTTAACAAAATTAATGGATGATGATGTGACACAACTTAAAGCTAACGAGGGACCAATCTAACACATCAGCTTTAAGCTGTGTCACATCATCATCCATTAATTTCGTTAACTTATATTTAACGAAAGGGACCAATCTGACCCACTATTTTAAAAGTTAGGACTAATGTAAAACACTTTTATAACGAGGGACTAAATTGAGATTTTTCAACCAAAGTGGGGACTAAATTGGCTATTAAACCTTTTTAGTATAATCGGTGTAAAAAAACTCATCTTATTTACAATATTATTATTACGTATACTTGATAGATTTTAACAGAGATAAAAAATTGATATAAAAAATCTATTTTGCACTGATGAGAGGTCGTTGAAACCAACATTACTCCAATTTACGGTAATTCCAGTGGCAGGGACGATTCTGATGTAGCTTGTTATTCGATACTTACTCCTCCACCTGCTGCACCCAGAATTCACAGTTTTAGTTATTACTTTTGGGTAACTTAAGGAGGTTCAGAAATATATGTTATTATGACCACCATAGGGTTGAAAG